TCTCTCTCTCTCTCTCTCTTCTCTNTTCTTTTTCTTTCTTTCTCTCTCTCTCTCTCTCTCTCAACATAGTACCCGTTGTAGGATTTTGATAGGCTCATACCAGCTAGTAACCTTCTTTTCTGCCATACATTGTTACATGTTACATTGTTTCTGCCATACATTGTATCTGTTCCAATCGTTGTGCAATAACCGTAGTATATGCGCAGGTTCTAGTCACTTCCTAGGTGGGCGTGTAAAAACAACATTTCACCACTGTCCTTGTTTGACCCTCCCCGGGGAACATGATCTCGCGTTGTCACGGCAGCAGGTTCCTGAGTGGGAGGCACGTGCGGAGGTGGGAGCATGCCGCCTCCACATTCAGCCGCAGGGCCTGCTCTTACTCATACAAGTGGCGTTCACCTTGCAATTTTTTAAGCAATATTTGTGATATTTTTCCACTTTCAACGCCAATAAATCAGTACTTTCCAACATTGCAGGTCTCTGAAATTTTCAGGGGTTATTAACCTTAGTAAGTGCTATTGACAGCAGTGAAATAGATTGTCAATGATGTTTATTTCTCAAGATATATGCCTACAAAAATGCTTCCCAGGAATATTTCACTTTGGCCTCCCTAACCTTGGGCCTCATTTACTGGCAGATGTCGAAGCCTCAGGGTCGACCTTGGGGCCAAAAAGCTGTTGCCGAAGCCTTAAGGTTAACATTGAGCCCGATTGGTCGCTGCCGAAGCCTTAGGGATGACATTGAGCCTTATTCATTGGCAGATTGCCCTCTGTTAGGCTAAGATGGCGGCTGTAACAATTGTCTCATCTAGTCTGGGGGAGACCACCTGTACGTCACCGCACGCTTATCAAGAAGAACAAAGTAAACATGGACTCAAAGACTCCTTTATGCAACTGTCGGTTTTTGAGGTTATCCTCGGTCCCTTAGTCTTACTGGAGAAATAGTAGAAAGACATACAGACTGAATAGTGTGAATGTTAATATTATGCGCTGGCTTTGAAATTGCTACCTGTCTAGGCTGACTTCAACTTTATTGGGATTGCAGGTAAGACATTACAATGTGGGCACTAGGCAGTCTTCTTATTCTGACTGTTGATGCACAACCTGTTATTTTCCAGACTCCACCATCACGACCAGCGAGAATGAGTCCCTGGCCTTCAAACTGACGGTGGAGAGTAAGCAGGGTCCTCCGGCCGTGTACGTACTGATGGCAGCAACCACACAGGAGAAGGCAGCCTGGTGCAGCGATATCAGCCAGGTGGGCTTGTTTGTTTGTTTGTGGAGAGTAAACAGGGTCCTCCGGCCGTGTACGTACTGATGGCCGCAACCACACAGGAGAAGGCAGCCTGGTGCAGCGATATCAGCCAGGTGGGCTTGTTTGTTTGTTTGTGGAGAGCAAACAGGGTCCTCCTGCCGTGTACGTACTGATGGCAGCAACCACACAGGAGAAGGCAGCCTGGTGCAGCGATATCAGCCAGGTGGGCTTGTTTGTTTGTTTGTGGAGAGCAAACAGGGTCCTCCTGCCGTGTACGTACTGATGGCCGCAACCACACAAGAGAAGGCAGCCTGGTGCAGCGATATCAGCCAGGTGGGCTTGTTTGTTTGTTTGTTTGTTGATTTGTTTGTGGAGAGTAAACAGGGTCCTCCGGCCGTGTACGTACTGATGGCCGCAACCACACAGGAGAAGGCGGCCTGGTGCAGCGATATCAGCCAGGTGGGTTTGTTTGTTTGTTTGTTTGTTTGTTTGTTTGTTTGTTTGTGGAAAGTAAACAGGGTCCTCTGGCCGTGTACGTAGTAATGGCAGCAACCACACGGCCTGGTGCAGAGATATCAGCCAGGTGGGTTACGCATTGTGTTCCGATGATCATAGGTGACCCCAAATAGAACACGCAGTCTGTTCCAATGACCATAGGCGACCCCAAATAGAACACGCATTCTGTTCCAATGATCATAGGCGACCCCAAATGGAACACGCATTCTGTTCCAATGACCATAGGCGACCCCAAATAGAACACGCATTCTGTTCCAATGACCATAGGCGACCCCAAATAGAACACGCATTCTGTTCCAATGACCAAAGGAAGACCCATGCAAATAGAACACGCGTTCTGTTCTAATGACCCAAGTAGAACACAGATATTCAGAGTATTTTTGTTTGAAGGTCTTGAAATTTTGGATCTTGTATTTACTTTGTGCCAAATTATATAACTATATATAAGTAGATTGCATGTTTTTACTGATGGATGTCAAATCCTTCTGCTAATCTGCCTCACAATTATTTAGAAAAGTTCGCACCAGTGCTTTTTTGTGGTTCCACATGTGACGGGTTCACATCTTGTCAATGTGTTTAATCCTGTATAGAATCTATTTATGATGAGAATCTAATCACTTGCGAGACATGGCGAGGGCCGACCGCACACGCGCCAACTGTATATCCGGTGTCGTCCGCTAAAACGGTTCCTCGCTCGTTCAAACGCGGCGACAACCTCTTTCATGCAACTCCACTCGTGCAGCGCGACTGTTGGAGTGGGTGGCATCAACCTACTCTCCAAGCAGAGGTTGATGGTGGAAGATCGTTTGCTTTTTATATATGGCCCCTTTTTTCCTCGCTACCACCACCATTACCTTGGGTGGGGAAATGGTTACAGACTGGCCAATTTGATAGTCTTACCCCCACCAAAAGATCTCCTTGGAGATTAGTATGAACCATATTGACAACATTTGAGCTGTGTTCTAGCCTGGTAACCGGCCGGCTTGGGGCTGTTTTATACCAGTCTCAATTGTAGCCAGAGCCGTGGATATCTAGTTCTATGCCTGAATGGGTTAGGGTTAGGATCAGGCACGGTTCTGGATAGTCTCTATTGTATCCAGAACCGTGCATATCTAGTTCTGTGCCTGAATGGGTTAGGGTTAGGATCAGGCACCGTTCAAAGCGGCGACAGCCTCTTTCAACTCCACTCACGCAGCGCGACTGTTGGAGTGGGTGGCATCAACCATATTGGCAACACTCACGCCGAGTTCTAGCCTGGTAACCGGGCTGCTTAGGGGTGTTTCACAAGTCTCTATTGTATCCAGAACCCTGCTTGTCTACTTCTCTGCCTGAATGGGTTAGGTTAAGGATCAGGATAGCCTCCGCGTATCCAAGAGTAGACTTCCCCCAGGCGTGGCTCCGGGTAAAGCATAGTGCACTTCGTTATACAAAAGCCCCAGTCGTACTGAGGATCGGCCTTTTTCTGGTAGCGTATCCTTCCAGCCAGCCTTTCTAGTTTTTTTGGGGGGAGCGATGTCAAAATAAACTACAACATATAGGAAATAGATTCGCGGTACAAAGATCCCCGCGAATCTAAACAGATCGCGGAAATTTGTAAACTTACAGTAACCCTAGCCAACACGATAAAAAATCCCTGGGCAGGCAACAACACTTTCAGCACCGTGGAGATAGTGAGATGCCCCGGTGGTCTGGTTACGAGGCTAGCTGTGCCACGCGCGCAAAGTCTGCAGCACAAAAAACGTTTTCTTAAACGTAATTTCGGCGCCGCAGGACGCATTTCTTCTAATGATCACCTGTTAAAGGAATGAGTGATGCCGTTGGCATCCCACCCGGTGTGGCTGTTACTTAATGCAGGCATTGTATAACGCCTGAGTGTCACTCAACTCTACAGTCACATTGTACCGACAATATCCACTATGGCGGTAATGCAGACAATATCGTATCCAGAGCCGTGCTTATAGAATTCTACGCCTGAATGGGTTAGAGTTAGCATCAGGCACTGTTTTGGATAGCCTCTATTGTATCCAGAACCGTACCTAACTAGTTCTATGCCTGAATGGGTTTGGGTTAGGATCAGGCACGGTTCTAAATGAACTCCGGATCCACGTATCAAATACAGTAGATTTGCCCCAGGCACAATTATGTGTCATTGAACCCAACAGTGTATTGACAACATTATCCACTACTACGGTAATGTAGATATTGTATAACGTATGTGTGTCATTGAACCCCTCAGTGTTGCGACAACATCCATTACTACTGTCTCCGCGTGTCAAAGAACGTAGATTTGCCCAGATTTGCCCCATATATAGACATTGTATAACGCTTGTGTGTCATTGAACCCAACAGTGCATCGACAACATCCACTATCACAGTAATGTAGACATTGTATAACGCTTTTTTGTGTGTCATTGGCCTCTGCAGTGCATCGACAACATCCACTACCACGGTCTGTTGAACAGCGCTACAGAAGACGTGTCGTCAGTCCTCATGCCGCAAAACATCAGGTGAGAACCTTTGTTTGTTTGTTTTATTGTTTTAATTTTTATTGTTCATTTACAAAATAACAAATAAACCAACAATAACACAAATGATAACACATATACCACGGATCCAAATACAAAGGTACAACAGAATAAACAAACAAAAGAAATAAACAAAAAAACAGCCAACTAAAGCTATAGTAGATCCATTTGTTTGTTTGTTTGTTTGTTTGTTTGTCTTATTTCCATCTCCATCGTGCAACTCTACCATATGGTATTTGGTGTATCTCTGCAGTGTGGTATCTTGTGCATCTCTACTTTATGGAATTCGGTGCATCTGTACAATATTGTATTTAGTGCTACTCTATTCTGTGGTATTTGGTACATCTCTACTTTATGGAATTTTGGACATCTCTACTCTATGGAATTCGGTGCATCTATACAGTATTGTATTTGGTACATCTCTACTCTATGGTATTTGATGCATCTCTACAGTATGGTATTTGGTATGCTAGTCCGTGGCCTAGAGTATATATATATATATACATCTGCGCTGGCCACGTCTTATGATTTTGTTTGTGCCTGTGGTATATATTTTAAGGTGGGAGTCGTGCTATACGGACCCAATGTGCTTGTTCATATAATTATATATTCTTTATTTCAGGTAGAATTAATGGATGGAAAAGCTTGTTGTGTTATCCTTGCTTGCTTCTTTTTGCCGTTTTGCCTTCGTGCATTTATCAAGTTCGATAATGTAGTCTGAAGTGTTAAATGTATGTATTTAATGTTTTTCCAACAGAACCGACGCCCGCCTGTTTAATGATGACGTGGACATCCGCTTCAGTAGAACGCTCAACTCCTGTAAGGTCAGTACGATACAGCTCTCTTTACTGAAGACTTTGCTATCACTAAAATACATTGTTTACATTGTATATTGCTTACGATACATGTCCTACAGTGTTTGGTAGGGTACTATTCACCTTCATCTTTTGCACAATAATGGACTACATTGATATGGGTAAACGACACTATAATTTCACTAAATTGTCGAGTCCTGACGTGAATGCAAACCTATGTATAGTCATAAAACCTATAGTAGAGTCATCTGAGTGCCATCAGATTATGTTGCTCAATGTCTGATGGGACCGCTATATATATTGCCTCCGTCGGGCAATATTGACCATGGTCAAATCTTAAATTTCATCGGCCATGCAACATTAACTATATGTCTGAACAGTCTGATACTGAGAATGACAGGCTGAACCTCAGAATGTTTTTAATGAAATTGCAAAGGCAATCCCTGGCAGTGTCGTTGATATCAGTTGCCTTCTTACATAATTAGACATAGCATAGCCATACATGTCATACAAGCGAGTAAATAGTCATACAAAAGAGTAATACAAAGAAAAAGACGAATTTGTGGGGTCATGTGGCGTAGCGGCAGAGTACTCGACTCGGAACCTAGAGGTCCCGGGTTCGAGACCTGACATGCCACCGATCTTGTGCCCTTGGGAAAGGCACTTTACACGACTTCCCTCACTTAGCTCAGGTGAAAATGAGTATTGTCCTGTTCCGTATTTGTCCTCTGCGTTGGTGACGGTATAAATAAGTTGATATAACTTGAGTGTGCCGTCACCATGTCCAGTCATGAAATGTAAGAATAAAAAAAGAAAAAGACATTTGTGAGCTGATTCGGTTGTGGTTCTGTCCTCAGGTGCCCCAGATAAGATACGCCACGGTGGAGAGGCTTCTGGAGCGACTGACCGATCTGCGCTTCCTCAGCATAGACTTCCTCAACACCTTCCTGTACACGTACCGGGTCTTCACGTCTGGCAGCGTGGTGCTGGAGGCTCTCATACGGGTCTACCGAGCGCCGGAGACATGTCTCTGTCAGCACAACAGGTAAGGTCTAGCCCTATCCCTATCCCTATCCCTATCCCTATCCCTATCCCTATCCCTAGCCCTAGCCCTAGCCCTAGCCCTAGCCCTAGCCCTAGCCCTAGCCCTAGCCCTAGCCCTAGTTCTTGTTCTTCTTCAAACAAATAAGGGCAATGACCTGGAACGGATGTCTGTCACTGTGTTAACTGGTGCTGTAGCATGCATCATGTGGTGTTGGGTACATTATGTAGCAAGTTGCAGGACAGAGTTGGAGGGGCTGGTCACCATATGTATAAATGTGTTTGTATTACAGTACGCTTGAGCAGTCCGGGGGCCATCTGCAGGCCGACATGGGCTCCCCTCCCATTCCTGAGGTCCTCACGGCGACCAAGAGAGTGCGCTCCCACTCCACCACCACTCTGTACATTATGTAGCAAGTTGCAGTACAGAGTTGTAGTGGCTGGTTACCATAATATATACTTATATAATACCCTTACAACAAAGATTATTATATATTCCAGTACCTTGGAGCAGTCCGGGGGCCATCTCCAGGCCGACATGGGCTCCCCTCCCATCCCTGAGGTCCTCACTACCAAAAAGAGAGTTCGCTCCCACTCTGGTGTTGGATTATGTAACAAATGGCAGGACAGAGTTGGAGGGGAAGGTTACCATATACAGTATATAAACGTTTTTGTATTCCAGTACCCTGGAGCAGTCCGGAGGCCATCTGCAGGCCGACATGGGCTCCCCTCCCATCCCTGAGGTCCACACGGCCACCAAGAGAGTTCGCTCCCACTCCACCACCACTCTGCCCACCATCCTGTCGGAGGACAGGGGAGACAACGGCCGCTCCTTCGAGTCAAACGAGCACATCAGACGGCATCCGCTCAGAAGAAGCTTCAGAAGAAGTAAGTAGCATCAATTACCGTAATTTAGCACCTTAGTTCTCGCCGTGCCATTTCATTTAAGGCACTTTGGGTCGTCCGCCTCCACCTGGTGCGATGATCCTATGCTAACACTTAGTACCAGAAACTTCCGAATGTTTTTCCGTGGTTGCCTTACACGTCAATCTTGGTCTTCTCCATGAGGCTTCCAGCATTTTGCGTCCGCGGTTCCTTCTTTGATGAACAGTCTTTGATGTTCCTTCTTTATATCAAGGGTTTTCACGGCGTGTTAGAAACTATACCGTGATAGGCAGGAATGTTGTGCCCAATCATAACGTATTGATGGGGTGGAGACTGTAAAAGGGCTACCAGCATATGCAATTATAAATACATTTTCTGCAATGTTTTTCTTTTTTTCTTTTTCTTTTTATCTTTAAATGCGAAGGAGAACGACGGGAGACAACAAGAAACTAGAGGTGGTTAAAAACGATACTATAGACAGAAATATTACTTATTGATAGGGTAGAGATTGTGAAAGGAATGTCAGCTCTGATCTTACTTCAGCACATGCGATTGTCAATACCATTTCTGTCTTTTATTATGTATCGACTAGATAAATGCGAAGGAGACCAGCAGATTACAGAAGACAACAGGAAAGAAGAGTCTACCCAGGAGCGACTTGGGACGCCGATCCACCACCGGCCCTCCTCCCCGGCCCTGCCCGTTCCCTGCCGCCGCCGATCAGGTAAGTTCTGTTTATCTCCATCTCCAAAACCATTACCCTGGAGTCCAGTCTTGTCAGCTTTAGTCCGCTCCCCAAGATCCGCTACCCAGCCAACAAGACTGGGCGCCGTTACCATTCAAACGATTTCAGCAGAAGTATTCCCAGTGAGTGCTCCCAGGGCTAGGACAAAGCGGTCCTTTCTCCACAGGGCCATAGCCCTATACAACAAAGAACTGTCACATCACTAGATTTATATTTCCTAAACCTATCTGTATATAGTTTTTTGCTTGGTACAAATTTTTTATGTATTATAGTGTATATGAGGGATTGTATATAGTATACTGCTTGTCCTGCCTATTGTAACTTTTTTTTGTTTTTGTTAACTCTTTCAATTCAGGGATTTTCATCCCTGCTGCAAGGTTTGCTTTTTGGTGTTGAAATAAAGAAATATAGGATTCGCCGAAAATACATGCAAACGCTGTGATTGGCTATTGGAACTGGGTCCTTTCGAGGCGATGTCTATGGTCATCAGCGTGCATGGGGTAACGGACTCTGGGGTAGCGGACTGAAGCTAACAAGGCTGCACTCCAGGCTACAAAACTCCCAAACAAAGTTATCCTCCTGCTGGCCTCTTCTTGCTTTAAAATGCATGGAAGCACTTTGGATAGAAATCACTAACGTGTTGCATTTTATGCCGTCTTGCTTCTGATGCCGTTATGTAGCATAAGACACGTTATGTTTGAAGATGCTGTTTGTATTTGACAACAGCGATTACTAGAATGTAAAACCCAGTCTTTTTTTGTTGGATGCCTTGTTAAAAATAGCTTATACGGTACTGGGTATAGATAGTGCAATTTTGGATTGCTTCCTATGTATACTAGTAGCTATTTTTGTTGGTTGAGACCACGCATGTTGGATGCCTTGTTCAAAAATAGCTTTAACGCCACTGGGTAGATATTGCCATGGTTTGCTTTGTATATATAGTTATTTTTGTTGGCATGAAGACGAGTGTATGTGACTTTGCGGTTTGCATGGATCATTTGCAGCCAGCTCGACGGGGAATGTGGACGAACCCGGGCGGGGCCGCTCCCCCTCCCCCGCCCCACGCCCCCCCTCTCCGGTCCCGCCGAACTCACCTCGCCTGGTGCATGCAGGTACCGAGCTCGTCCTGCAGATAGAACCCTGGTGTCCAGACTATATCGTGGTTGGGGCGGGTTTTCCTCGGGGCTGTAGTAGGAACTCTTTCCCGCCCGCCTCAGCTAGGTTTCCCGGTGGGCATTTCACGATGGGAGATTGATTAGCCCTACCGCCATGGCCGCGGTTGGAGAGGGGGACACATCTTAAATCCCCTAGTATACCATCTGTTATTAGCGTAACACTCCTACGTACCGGGTCGGCCTGTTTCACTGGGCGGGGGAAGCTATTAGAGCCCCCGAAGAAACAGCCTGCCTGAACACCCCAATACCCCCAATCACGTAAGACTGGGCACCAGGCTAGCAAAAGTCTGGTGTTCAGTCTATATCGTGGTTGGGGCAGGTTATCTTCCAGGGTGTGGTAGACTAGTTCCCCGCCGCAGCAGATCCCTCTCGGTGTCAAAAAGACAGTATCAAATTGGCCAGGCAGCATCCATTAGCCAGAGAAGGTCGCCAGCCACCGACGGGTGGGGGTAGCGACAAAAAAAAAACGGCCATATGTAGAAAGCTAACAAACATTCCCCCACTATCTCTGCTTGGAGAGTACCAAGGCAGCAGCTCAATCTTTGCGGTGGGCTAATCAACTCCCGTCCTGCAAAACTCCTACCGGGAGCCCAGAGCTGAGCCGGGCGGTGGATAAACCTTCCACAGCCCCGAAGAGATCCCGCCCAAACCGCGATGTACCGGACACCGGGCTCGTACGTCCTGCACGGTCGTCATGTCTTGTGCACGTCGTCCTGCTCTTGCGAAACGCAAACACAATGCCGTGCGAACGCTTTGAGCCCCTGCCACACGTTCATCAGGACCTTCTCACGACTGTACTCCCGACCATTTCCCAACCAAGGTCGGCTTTAGGTTGGGGTAGGAGTAGAAAGTAGACTGAAATCCATCCTATTCTTAGACTAGCTCCAGCTTGGTCCTCTGATCAATCAGAAATCATAGTCGGCTGCCAGAAACGACTTTTAAAGACCAGTAGCCAACATCGCCGACAAACTCTCAACTGCTAGTGTACCATGCTCACGACCAACGCCCAATCATGGTCTGGAGAAGGTTGGGAGGCCGTGTCCAGCAACAGTTGCCTAACTCCCCAGCCATGGTCTGGAGAAGGTTGGGAGGCTATGGTCGGCTGTGTGTGACAGGACTAACTCGCAACCATAGTCGGGAGAAGGTCCGGACGCCAGCTATGCGTGTGACAGGAGCGCTTAACTCCCAACCATGGTCTGGAGAAGGTCGGGACGCCAGTTATGTGTGACAGGACTAACTCCCAACTATGGTGTCTGGAGAAGGTTGGGAGAAGGTTGGGAGATGGTTGTGAGAAGGTCGGGACGCCAGTTATGTGTGGCAGGAGCTCAAAGCAAACCTGTGTTCTCATGACGCTTGTCTCGTGGCTGACTCCGCGCTCTCATCCTTGTCTTGTTCCCACTCCGCATGCGCCTTTGTGACGTTGCTGTGACGTGGTTATGACGTGTTAGGAGTGTCCGCCATGTTGTCCGGTGGCTTGCTGTGCGCTGGAGACGGTGGTCAGTTCCGTTTGTACTGAATATAGAAACAGAGTTTGTTGCAATTGCAAATCCATGCCCGAAGGATAATTGCATGTTACAAATATAAAAGAACTCTGAAACAGAGTATAAAATAACTTTAAAATGTACATAACGAAATGTAACTGTCTTAATAACTATTGCTAAACTATGTCTGAAGGGTTTGACTTCACTTTTGTAAACCACGGAAGACGTAATGTCCCACCTTTTCTAAAATTTTATGGGTTTTGGGAAGTTAAAAGAAGAAAAGTTTTCGTTCTATAGCGGTGTGACTCTATGTGCTGACGAGAAAACGCTCTATGGTGTATTACACAAAGTATTGCTGTATTACTGTGTGGGATGATTTAAGTTTATTGGGATATCCCAGTTAAGTTGTATAAAATTGATCCACCGTTTTCTCAGCAGACTTATTCATTTTGCTTTTTTAAATGTCTGTGAAGTAGAAAGTTAAAAAGAGCACAGTACAAATTTAGATCGGCTGACATGATACAACCCAAAGCTGCCATTTGAAAGCAATGTAGGTAAAAAGGTTGTCTTAAAAGCGAAAACATGGAGGCAAGTCTCCCACGACTCAAACATAAGGTCTATATGGAGCCAAAACTGTTTTCCGTTTTCTTTTTATGTGTGTTAATGATTCAGTCAGGAAAACATCCAAAATCGACATCATCTAACGTATGTTTAGACATTGTCTTGAGCTTCAGCACATCTTTAGTGTTGGTAACATTAACAAAACACGGAAAACAAACTAGTTTCTCTCAACTCGGCCCTTATAAGGTCCGTGGAGATGTACTTGCGTCCTCTTCTAAAAGTGTGATAATGTTTTTTTTTAAATTTTGCAAACATTTCCAAAATCTTCATTATGTTATACGTCGTGATCTTCAACACATCTTTGGTGTTGGTAAACGTGGTAACAAAAAACACATGTACAAGCTATTTCGTACATGCCATGCATACGATATCATAGCATAACACGCTGCAACAATCAACGCATCTTTTGTTCCCTTTTCGACCTCCAAAAAATTGCCTTCACTTTATTTGCATATCAATCAATAGTTTGTGCTTATAAACCTGCATTTCTCCTCTGGTCTCTCAGTCACTGACGAAAGCTAGTGGATGCTAGCTGAAACGTCTGACCGTTTCCAAAATCATATCCAGTTGCTTGAGTAACTGCTTCTTTGGCGAATCATCACAGCAATCATGTAGCATCCATATTAGGCAATACTTAGCAGCCCGACGCTGTCCTACCATCACCTGTACGCGTACGCACGCAAAAGGGTTTGTCTGTCGGCAGATTATGCAAATGTGGTTTTACGCTTACGCAGAGAGCGCTCCCGGCGTGGTGGTGACGTCATCACGCCCGTCCAGGCGACGCAGCACGTCCTCTGCAGTGGTCGCGTTCGCCGCAGCTACAGCCGGCTCTGCCAATCTGAGGGTGTCGGACGGGAACTTCACGTCAGGTAGGAGTATTACCTAACCCTAACCCTAACCCTAACCGTTATCTAGAACCGTGTTATATCCGTAACCACGCGTTCGCCGCAGCTACAGCCGGCTCGGCCAACCTCAGGGTGTCGGACGGGAACTTCACGTCAGGTAGGAGTATTACCTAACCCTAACCCTTATCTAGAACCGTGTTATATCCATAACCACGCGTTCGCCGCAGCTACAGCCGGCTCGGCCAACCTCAGGGTGTCGGACGGGAACTTCACCACGTCAGGTAGGACATGTACAGGGTTCTATAGCCAGAACTGTGCTATACCCATAACCACGCGTTCGCCGCAGCTACAGCAGGCTCGGCCAACCTCAGGGTGTCGGACGGGAACTTCACCACGTCAGGTAGGAACTTGGGGTTGTATATCCAGAACCGTGTGTTATCCAGAACCGTGCTATATCCATAACCGTGTGTTCGCCGCAGCTACAGCCGGCTCGGCCAACCTCAGGGTGTCGGACGGGAACTTCACGTCAGGTAGGAGTATTATCTAACCCTAACCCTAACCGTTATCTAGAACCGTGTTATGTCCATAACCACGCGTTCGCCGCAGCTACAGCAGGCTCGGCCAACCTCAGGGTGTCGGACGGGAACTTCACCACTTCAGGTAGGAACCGGTGGTATATTCAGTACCGTGGTTTATCCAGAACCGTGCTTTACCCACAGTAGGTAGGACCGGGTTAACGTATACCCATCAGCCAACCTGAGGGTACTAGTATCAGACGGAAACTTCATCACCGTCAGGTAGGGCCTGTTGTACCGAGAACCCTGATTTTTCCATAACCATGCTCAGGCCTAGTCCTGTATGATCCACGTGTATCCAGAACTGTGCTTTATCCAGAACCATGCTCAGGCTCGATTCTGAAAAATCCACTTAAATCCAGAACCGTGTCTGGGGCAAATATATACAAATGTACCTTCTTGGATACGCAGAGACTAGCCAGACCCGTGCCTGATCCTTACCCTAACAGGGTTCTGAACAAAATTATACAGGATATATATGCCGAAAATAGAATTGTTCAAACATATTATGATATCCAAGCGCTATGATATAATTGAAAAACTATGTAAATTTATTCATACATGTTTCAAAAAGAGAGAAGAGATCCTGTAGGTAGATCCTGTAGATAGAGAAATAGCACACGAATGTATTCTTATTACCAAGTTATTTAACTTAAGTGCATTTGGCCCGTGTAGGGCGTGAACATGCAATAAAGTTCATTGTCATTGTCATTATAAAAGTGTAAGATAATATCAACAGGTGTTGGTCATGGTAGTTAGTGTCGAGTTCAGAAGATATCTTGCAAATGTCCCAGTTTAAAAAAGAAATAAATGCAAAGATGAAGAAATGCTACTGGCAATATATCGAGTCTGTCGTCCTCGATATACCAGTTGACGCAAATGACACTGCGCAAAATAATCCCCATGTTAAGCAAGGTACCAAAAAGTTCTGGAGTTTTCTTAAATCAATTAAGTCGGAGAGGTCCGGTGTTTCCCATCTTAGGACTAATGGTACTTTGGTGTCAGACAGTAAGCTTAAAGCCAATCTGCTTAACCACCAGTTTCAGTCTGTGTTCACCCACGAGCCTCCAAACGACCCCCTGCCAGACCTAGGGCCTAGCCCTCATGCCTCCATGTCAGGCATCACAATAGAGGTGAGTGGAGTTGACAAGCTGTTGAATAACCTGAACATCCACAAAGCTTTCTGGGCCAGACCAAGTTCACGCCCATGTCCTTAAGGAACTCAGATCAGTATTAAGTCCTATCCTCCAGGTAATTTTCCAAAAAAGCCTAGACACAGGTACAGTACCCGAGGCGTGGAAAGAGGCAAACATAGCCCCTGTGTATAAGAAAGGCGATCGTTCCAAACCTGAAAATTATCGCCCAATCTCACTCACATCCATTTGCTCTAAACTAATGGAACACATCATCGCAAGTACGATGATGTCTCACTTTCAAGCAAATGATATTCTGTATGACCTCCAGCATGGTTTTAGCCATGGCAAGTCTTGTGAAACCCAGCTGCTCTCACTAACAGACGACCTGGCCTTCAACAGAAACAACGGAACCCAGACAGACCTCATTTTTATGGACTTTGCCAAGGCATTTGACAAAGTTCCCCACCGTAGACTGCTACACAAACTGCAGTACTATGGTGTCAGAGGAAACACCCTTGTCTGGATTCAGAACTTCCTGTTGGGTAGGTCGCAAACAGTTGTGCTTGATGGAGAGCGCTCTGACCCCATGCCTGTGACCTCGGGAGTCCCCCAAGGCACAGTGTTGGGGCCCATCCTCTTCTTAGCCTACATCAATGATTTGCCAGAACATGCTGTAAGTGCCAAGGTGAGACTTTTTGCAGATGACTGCATATTACAGATGCCAATATATGACAAATCTGATTGTGCTAAACTGCAGGAAGACATAGATAACATCAGCCTATGGGAGCGCAGGTGGCTTATGGAGTTTAACCCTTCAAAGTGTGAAGTAATGACCATCCCATCATCCAAAACTCCAATTACTCACTCGTATATCCTCCACAACCAGCTCCTAAACAAGGTAAGTTCCACTAGATACCTTGGGGTCACCATATCCTCCAACCTGACCTGGGGCAGCCATGTTGATGCCGTATCATCTAAGGCCAACAAAACACTTGGCATGCTGAGACGCTGCCTGAGGATCGCCAGCACTGCGGCCAAGGAAAGGGCCTACATGGCCCTGGTAAGACCACAGGTGGAATATGCTTGCAGTGTTTGGGATCCACACACCCAGGATCAGGTGGGTCGGATAGAGATGGTGCAGAGACGAGCTGCCCGGTACGTTACCAACAACTATTACCGTACAAGTTCTGTCACCGACATGATTAATAAGCTGGGCTGGCAGTCCTTAGCACACCGAAGGAAGAACGCCAGACTTGCCACATTATACAAGATAACCAACAATGTTATTTCTGTGCCGCACGCATCTAGAGTTGTCCCGGCGACTCGATGCTCCCGCCGCACCAACCACGCTCTCAAGCTGCAGACCATCGCGAGTAGGAACAACTTTTACAGGCTCTCGTTCTTCCCTCGTACCATCAAAGAGTGGAACGAACTTGAGCCTGGTGTGGCGGAGGCGGGGTCCCTCGCCCAGTTCAAATCTGGACTGGCGAGGACCCTGCTGCATTGAGTCGCCCCTACACGTCTTGTATATATGTATATATGTATGTCCTACTAACACACTAAATGCACTGTCTTGTCCTTTACACCTACAGACTCAGTTATTTACGTTCCGTAGTGTCCCCTCCTTTAGTTGCCCTTGTTTCTACTTGTACCGGTCACTTGTTTTGTAAATAACAACATGTGCAGCTGCTAGTAATCCAATGTCAATATTGGGCTCAGCAGTACTTAAGATGATGATGAAATGTCAGACATACATGTATATGGGGTGGGTCTAACGCTCCGAAACTGCTTTAAAGTGATTCCTAGATTGAAAGTATTTCTGTCACCGTGGGAGTAATCATGCAATAGACTCCCGCTGGTCGTGAGATGGTTTTATTGTGCGGTGTAACTAGTGTTGGTTGTGTGCTGCTTCCGTCTCCTACCGAAGAGTCGTCTTTCAGCAACAAATTTAGAACCTCCGTCCTTGCCCTTCTGACAAATGACATGCATTCTGGATCTGTATCACCTCAATGTTAAAGCAGTAATGAATGAATGAATGAATGAATGAATGAATGAATGAATGAATGAATGAATGAATGAATGAATGAATGAATGAATGAATGAATGAATGAATGAATGAATGAATGAATGAATGAATGAATGAATGAATGAATGAATGAATGAACTTTATTGCTCGACAGTCGTATGTGGTACCATGTGTGGCAGTAATACAACAATACTACAAAACTAAACCATCTTAGTACATTTCTTACTACAAACTACTATCTATACAGTATATGAGTCACAGTATGGTCATGTATTGATGATATGGTCTCGCTTATGAAATTAAGTGTACAGAAATTGGCCTACGTAAGCAGATATGGTAGTTGGACATGACAATAATCTATGGAATGTATCGTACTGTGTACCAGATAGGGTGAACCTGTCATAATATTTTTCGTGATTTTGCTCGTTTTATTAGTGCTTGTTCCAAGCAGAGTGATTTCATCACCGGCCGCCATGCCTGGTGTGTGTTAGCGTGTACGCACATGGTGTGCCACATGTAGCTCCTATCTGGGCTAATATGCCCACTCTTGTATCATCGTTATCTCATTTAGCACCAGATTCTAATTTGATACGAAGAGAAACTGTCACATCGATGAGTTTCGTCAGCAATTATATATCAGCTCCATCCTTTCATCTCATTTAACTCACAGCCTTCTCATTGGAGCAAATACGTCCATTGTTATATCATTATGATATGATTTAGCATACGTGGATTATCAGTACACGTAGCTTCTATTATATTTACTATCAACAGGAGTTAGATTATCGATGTGATTCATCAACAATTACCTGCTCTATACAGCCTCGAGCTGTCATTACGTGTATCTACAATAACAGAGCTGTTTGTGATCCGAGCGAAATCAATTGAGTTTGGGCCTCGTGTCCTGCAAATTAGCTCAACTCTAACACGCATCCACTGATCTGTCTTTTTTCTATGTGGTGAGCAGAGCTAAGAGGATCTCACAAGCATGTTGTTTTTATTCATATACATTTACTGAGTATTGGGCAAAAAGCAAAATTTGCTTATATAACACCTTTTACTCAAAAACATACAACGAGTATAAAACACATTGACAAGATACATGCATAATTACAAGGTGGATAAAACCAAGATAAATACAAACAAGACAAGTTGGTGATCTATCAATTACGAGAATCTACCCGTACAGTAAATGAAGTTTTGAACTACGTCAAAAACATTACAGTTTAGCAGGTGTGAAAGTGATGTGGACCCTCAAAGTAGTAAGGACCACAGGGAACTGTCATTATCATTTTTCTATTTGGTGAGCAAAGCCAAGAGGATTCCACAAGCATGTTGTGTTTGTTTCTCAGAGTGCATTAAACATACGTGGATAACAGAGAGAACTTTATTGCACGACAATTGCACATGGTACAATGTATGGCAAACTACATAAATGAAATAACAAACAATAAAATAAATGTGTTAAATAAGACCTAATGTCGAATAAATCCTAACATATCTTAATTATACATAAAATTAAAACGAAGTGAATCGAATCTTTGTACGTTAGGGAACATAGACTTTTTAATACGCATTAGCTACATCATTATCAATATGGATACTACAGAATCAGAGTATTTATAAAGTGTTGACACTTCAGATGCACACAAATACAATTATATGAACTTAAAAGGCAATGTTTTCATGCAAGATGCAGATTCATAATGACAATAACTATTCATGGCTTTGGAATAGAAGTATGAACTCCAATTGACAAGTCAAATCATTGTCTATCTTTTTACAGTCCGATTTAGATGAAGATGCAGATTAACTCAGATATTCATAAATTCAAGCGTACGATGACAGCATATAGAGTATTAGAAAGGAAATTTGCAAGCCTCTCTATGCAAAATTTCAGACCACTCGACTAAAAAAGGAACGCATGACGCATTTGTAAATACGTTGCTACAAAAAGAAATCAAATCAATCAAATCTTTCTTCTTTTACGTCAGAGAAAAACAATATTTGATTTTTTCCTTTAGGAGATGTAAATATGATTATCCAAGAAAGAAAGCCTACGTCAAGAAACTCCTTTATGTAAATTTTCTCTCCGCTGTTTTTGTATGATCATACAGAAAGGCGCGTGTCTGTGTCACAGCTGTTGGTGTTTACAGTATAGATACAGGGTAAGATTGGGGTCAGCGTAAATGCAAAAGATGAATTTAAATTTTCAATATCCCTAGATAAGCATTGAATAAGAAAAATGATCTGTTCCCGTATCTAAATATGTACAAAGAAGCCTTTCGGTTTAATAGCACAGCTGAATCGAGAGGGTTTCCAGAGCCAATGACCCTTTTCCCACTAAAATAGAATTGTCCGGATCGAGCCGAATAGATTTGCTTTGATCCGGCTTGGAACCGGATCGAAGCGAAGTCGGATTGAAGCGGATATATTCGGCTAGATCCAGAAAACTTTATCCTAGTGGGAAGAGAGCCATTCTGTATGTTACAACAGCTTCGGTTCAGACGTGTAGCTACAGGTAACGATAATCAAGTTTTCTTTGCCTGTGTCCAGGCTATGGCAGCTGTAGTTATGTAGCTACATCACGTACAGGGTATGTAAAACTAAAAGGTAGCATGGTAGTAGTCTCGGCACTGCTGTGTGTGTGGCATGATAGTGTAAAAGGTAAGGTTCCGAGTTTCCTCTGCTGTCTGTGTCCAGACTATTGAGGCAGCTGTAGGTAAGTAGCTGCAGGATATGGTTGTGTGTAATCTTCTCTGCGTTTGTCCAGGCTACGGCAGTTGTAGGTGTGTGTGATTATGTGAAAAATAACCATGTCTTCTCTCTTTCCAGGTTACGGCAGCTGTATTTTGTGAAAGATAACTGTGTCTCCTCTGTTCTTAGGTTACGGCAGTTGTAGGTGTGTGTGATTGTGTGAACGATGACTGTTTTTCCTCTGTTTCCAGGTTACGGCAGTTGTAGGTGTGTATGGTTATATGAGAGGTAACTCGATTTTTCTCTGCTGTCCCCAGGTTACGGCAGTTGCATCACGTCGTCTCCAGATCTGAAGCAACAGAGGAAGAACAAAGAGGAGATCATCAGCACGGCCGCCACTGCGCGTGTGCTGAACGTTTTGCGGCACTGGACAACAAAGCACAAGCAGGTAATGTATTTACGCCCCTGAGTGCCCCCCCCCACCAAACGTTCGTGCGTCGTGCTATAACATTGATATAACAAGTTTTCAATTATACTGTAAATCGTACTAAACAGTTGAAAAATGAGCAAATATATACCGTAGGTTGTAAAAAAAAGAGGAAAGCTACATGTATATCAATGTTGTAGAATGCCAAAATCAAATGAAAAAGACGAAAATGTAAAGAAATGAATTTGAAGGTTAGATTTTTCGACAAACCATACAACAATGTGCCATTTGTTCAATATTCAAAACCGCGTAGATTTTATAATGAAAGCAACTTTTTTTTGGCCAATCTTTTTTTATTCGTACGCTCGCATCAGTTTTTGGGTTCCCAGAGGATGTCATCCATATAATCAAATCGACATGGCCTAAAACATAATTCTGGACTTTTCTCCAGGACTTTGAGATGGACAGCGTGCTGAAGGCGAAGGTTGTGGAGCTGCTGGAGGAGATGATGGGGGATGTGGGGCTACTGGCGAGCGAACACAAAGCAGCCTCCAACATTCTGAGGTAATTTCCGAAAAGATTTCATCAGTTTAGTAAAGCATATGATATAGTAAAAGACACCTAAAAGTAGTTACTCAAGTAACTGGATATGATTTTGAAAACGTCAGACGTTTCAGCTAGTATCCACTAGCTTTAAAAAAATCCCTATATACTATTCTTGGTTAATAGTTTTTTTACACCCATGTACGGAGGATCAATTTTGGGTGTGTTTGTATTTTTGCTTGTGTGTCTATGGGTATTTCAGTACAGTAGAATCACAGATATATAGTGATGAAAAAAAATTGTTACCGTATGCTGACAGAAAGGGTGTTGCTACGGCTACTTGTGTTGACCATGTCATGCATATTTTCTGAGTTAAGAAGATTATAAAACTTTGTGATAAAGATGGTTTCGTATCTTTTGTATCGCAGAACGCTGGCCTATGAGGACGGTGACAAAAACAAGGCGCGACTGCAGGAGATTCTGAATCCAGGAAAAGTAAGGAATAACTTTATTACAGTTTTTAACTATACATTCCTGAACTATTCCGGAATGACATTACATAGTATTACATTTTAATAGACCTTGCCTTAAATGTTAGGAATCATAACCGTGCGACAACTTACAATTCTACGAAGCAACTGGATACATTTCCTTAATAATGGTGATTATTTTATGATTAATTGTGTATTACGTTATGTTCTACATTCATCGACGTAACAGCCGATTTTGACTCCGCTTCCACAGAGCGGACAGCGTTACGTTTGATATCTCTAACTATAACTGAAGTCGATAAATTGGATTCATTATTATGATTTTACTGATTGATTTTGTGCTCTTCCTGGATGTCTAACCTTAATCCAAATAACAACTAGCCTGGAGTCCAGCCTTGGTCAGCTCCCCAAGATCCGCTACCAAAGCTAACAAGGCTGGACCGCAGGCTACATAACTTATTTTGACCGTCTGATTCCAGAGAGCGGACAGCGCGACGTTTGAGACGCTGTCGGCGTTACAGCTGGCGGAACAGCTGACCCTGACGGACCACACCATCTTCTGCAGCATTCCGTACGAGTGAGTGCCGGCAATGCATCTCTGTGCCCTCCACTCACACATACAAGCAGACACAGTGCAGCAATGTTAATATTAGCCTCTCGTCTTTTCTGTTGCCCCTTCTTTCTTCTACCCTGTACTGTTCCTTGTATGATGATTTACCATCTTCTGCAGTGCTCATCTCTTATGAGTGAGTGCCGGCAATGAATCTGCCGTACTTTCTCTGTTTCACCCTCTCTGCGCCATCCCCATCTCTCTCGCTCACACAAAGCATGTTTCGTCTCATCTATCCCTTAGCCAAATTGTTCGACCAAGTTTTCTCCACACTTCTCGGTTTTGTGTTCCTCTTAACATTTCACTTAGTGTCATGCCGGACCCATTTTTTCCCGATGACTTCCCCTCTTTCTTCCTCCGTGGACTGTGCCTTGCATGATGGTTTCGGCTGGTCTGCCATTTCTGTCCGTCTTGATTTTTAACACACCTTATTTCAACACACCTTTCTTCAATCCGTGCTGTTCGCACCTATCTGTCCCCTTTTCTCTTACCGAAGAGGTAAATCTTGATTTTTAACCTCCTTGCTCTTCCGCATACACAAACATAATATAGCAGTTGCAACGTCTGCCATTGTTAACGTCTTGACGTTATTTAAAGACACCTTCCTCCAATCCGTGCTGTTTTCTACCCAGGGAGTTCCTGAACAAGGCGTGGATGAAGCCAGACAAGGCGACCCGGGCGCCGCACATCATGCTCACCAGCAAGAGATTCAATGAGGTATCAAAAACTTGTCTAGTATTCATGCCTGAAATTAACTTCAGTAAGTAATTCACCATGGCTGTAGCAGTCTCTAACATGACATTATGACATTAGAAGGATTGGAGGCTTTCTAGTAGCGCCTGTAGTAGTAGTATTAATGATTGTATGATTTTTTTAGGGAACAGAACAAAATCGGCCTTAAGGCATTGCAGGAAAAACTTAGTATTTAGTGTCATAGTATATAGTACAATTACACACCAAAATAGAACGATGTGCCTATGAGCTGACACATTCCTATGATTGATGACTCTACCCACAGGTGAGTAAACTGGTGGCGTCAGAAGTTGTCAGCCAGCCGACTATCCCCGGCCGAGCGAGCGCCATCGAGAAGTGGACTGCAGTGGCCGACATCTGCAGGTTCGTAATTACTGTTTCCGTCTTAAACTTGTTAAAGTTTTCCTTCCAACTGAGTCAAAATAGGTAAGGAAAGTAGAAATCAATATTGTCAGTAATAAGGAAGTGGGGTAACTGACTGGAAACATATATCTGTCTTTAAAGGATCAGTTCTACTCTTCAAAACTTACATTCAATTTTTTGGCCCAAAAGAAATAATGGATATGAGTTGAGCCTCTTTGCTGGAACCCCTTTCTTGGAAAAGGAAAACTTTCCCCCATCCAGTCAAGTAAGGAAAGTAATAATGAATAGTTAATTTAGAAAAGACGTCGAGTGACTGAAAACATACATATTCTCAAAACGTCATCGCCATGTCGTAATCATGCATTAGATATTTTTGTAACACATGGATGTATAATGGCTTGTTAGAAGTTAGAACAACGTCAGCGACTAAATGACTGAAGGTGTACTGTCTACCCATACTGATACTGAATGATGCTGGTGTTATTTCCAGGTGTACCTCTGTATAGTATAACTATACCGATACTGCTGCTGTTATTCCCAGGTGTATGCATAACTACAACTCGGTTCTGTGTTATTTCCAGGTGTATGCATAACTACAACTCTGTTCTGTGTTATTTCCAGGTGTATGCATAACTACAACTCTGTTCTGTGTTATTTCCAGGTGTGTGCATAACTACAACTCTGTTCTGTGTTATTTCCAGGTGTATGCATAACTACAACTCTGTTCTGTGTTATTTCCAGGTGTATGCATAACTACAACTCTGTTCTGTGTTATTTCCAGGTGTATGCATAACTACAACTCTGTTCTGTGTTATTTCCAGGTGTATGCATAACTACAACTCTGTTCTGTGTTATTTCCAGGTGTATGCATAACTACAACTCTGTTCTGGAGATCACGTCAGCCTTCCAGAACAGCGCCATCTACAGACTCAAGAAGACGTGGGAAAAGGTCTCAAAACAGGTAGGAATGGAAAAAAAATACTTTGACTTATTTCTTTATTGATTTGACTTATAAAAAAAGAAACTTAACCTTTACCAAATTAGATTTGGGATATTTGAAGCCACACTTAGAGAAACATGTAAACGGTTTTGAACTGCGTCCAGTGAGATGCACTGTGGATATTGATTGATTAATTGGTTTTGATTTATTGAAATTGCAACAGTGCGATACACGCGGAACAGAGACAGCTGTTGCTGGTGTTGTGTCCCACATATAGAAACGAATACAGGACAGACAATACTCATTTTCACTTGAGTCTAGTGGGGAAAGCCGTGTAAAGTGCCTTTCCCAAGGGCACAAGATCGGTGGCATGTCAGGACTCGAACCCGGGACCACTCGAGTCTAGTGGGGAAAGCCGTGTAAAGTGCCTTTCCCAAGGGCACAAGATCGGTGGCATGTCAGGACTCGAACCCGGGACCTCTTGGTTCCGAGTCGCGCACGCTGCCGTTGCGCCACACGACCCCATGCATATTATGTCAAAGTTAAAGGCCATTGATACATAACACGTCTGGACATGTACCAAAACATGGTATGGACAAGAACTGTATACCATTCAGGAATCTTCATCTCTGAACTGCCGGCCAAGCGTATGCGCACGTCAACCCTTTAATCAGCGTATTGTATAATAAGGCATTGCACTTCGTCTTCGTCGTAATAAAGTCTTTTATGTTCAAATTTCAGACCAAGCAGCTTGTGGAGAAACTCAAGAATCTGGTGTCGTCTGATGGTAGATTCAAAAATATGAGGAATGAACTACACAGGTACGTACAACTGTTAAACAGACACGTAAAACTACACAGATACATAAAACTACACAGATACGTAAAACTACACAGATACGTAAAACTACATAGATACGTAAAACTACATAGATACGTAAAACTGTTACACAGCTACGTAATACTGTTACACAGATACGTAAAACTACACATGTATGTATAGAACTACACAGATACATAAAACTGTTATACAGATACATGAAACTACACAGGTACGTACAACTGTTACACAGATACACAGATACGTAAGACTACGGAGATACGTGGTTTGCTGAACATCCCCAGTATCCTGTAGGCCTACATTGCAAAACATTTGTATGACATCTACTGCCATGCACACCAAATTGATCGACAATCTACTCTATGTATATCTTCCCGCAGATGTGACCCTCCATGCGTGCCATACTTAGGAGTGTACCTGACGGACTTGGCTTTCATAGAGGACGGAGCACCAAACTTTACAGAAGACGGTCTTGTCAATTTTTCCAAGATGAGGATGGTAAGGACGGAAACGTTGTCACAAAAAAATTGGGCTTTTTTTGGAGACGATTTCATAGATTCAAACGGCACTGTAAAAATACCATGTCACCATTATATAGTTTTATTTATCATCAGATCATGACCATTTAACACAGAAATAGAAGAGTTTGACAACTCCATAGATGCAAAAGGCATCTGAGAATACCCTGTCACCACTGTATAGTTTTATTCATCATCGCATCAGAAGGATAATTAGAAATAATGAAGTGAGCAGTCCAATCGTATTTGTGTTGGAGTGAAGCTATTTTCACGATAAGTACTCCTACGCTGTAACTGTTACTCACTACTGAAGTGAAATTAAGAAACAGAACATCAATCCTCTTATTATCCACAGATCGCACATGTAATCCGGGAACTGCGGCAGTACCAGCAGACTCCATACAAAATAGAATATGATCCTAAGGTAAGAAAAACGTGTCATCTTTTAGTAGCCACTGTTGCCTTACCAAAATTGACTCCAGGTCTACCCCTTTCCCCCAAAAGAATACTTTTTTGTTTTGTTTTGCATAAGTGTAGCCACCGATACCTCTACAGTCGTGAGCCTGGATTAAACTCTTCGTCTTTGTACATTAAGGAACATTTGCAATTCTGTTAGAAATTGTATTTTTAATGAGCACTTCGAGCTTATATGATATATTGTCATTTGTTTTGACTATCAGGACACCGAATTTGAAACTTAATGAAACTTTTATCCAGACTTAAGTAGAACACAGAGAGTAGAACTGGAACTTGAAGAGTACAACCAAGTATAGTAGGGGCATCCTCACTAGATAGCTTTAAACAACGCTTGCAGTATACTGCCACTGTAGAATCCGCTTGGATATTACAACCTCTATCCCCCCCCCCCGAGGTGACGAAATATCTGCCATACATTGTGAGCACAGATTTTCTGTACTCTTCTACTTTCCCCCCAGGTAACGAGTTACCTGTTGGACCAGGCGCTGATTCTTAACGACGACGCACTGTACATACATACAGATACACACATTATGAGCACAGATTTTCTATCAGTAACTACTGTTAACTGTCTTGTACTTTTCCCCAGGTGACGAGTTACTCAGTAACTAATGTTAACTCTCTTGTACCCCAGGTGACGAGTTACTCAGTAACTACTGTTAACTCTCTTGTACCCCAGGTGACGAGTTACTCAGTAACTAATGTTAACTCTCTTGTACCCCAGGTGACGAGTTACTCAGTAACTACTGTTAACTCTCTTGTACCCCAGGTGACGAGTTACTCAGTAACTACTGTTAACTCTCTTGTACCCCAGGTGACGAGTTACTCAGTACTTTTCCTCACACATACCTACAGATACATACATTATTAGCACATATTTTCTATCAGTAACTACTGTTAACGCTGTTGTTCTTTTCCCCCCAGGTGACGAGTTACTCAGTAACTACTGTTAACTCTCTTGTACTTTTCCCCCCAGGTGACGAGTTACCTGTTGGACCAGGCGCTGATACTTGACGACGACGCTCTTTACGCCACCTCGCTGCAGATCGAGCCGAGGATGAGTCCCAGCGCCTCCGCCAGCAGCGGCTCCTGATCCCCCCATGCACACCCTCACACCGAGGAGAAAACCCCATACACATCCTCACCGCGAGGTACAAAACATCCAGTCATCACTGATAAAAAAAACTTCCACGATGCACATTTTTACCTGGCTCATATTGGATACTAACTATCTATGACACTGTCTGAAAAGATCTGTAGGCGGATTTCACACCACAGCAGTAGATATAAGAGAAAATACGTAGCAGAGATCAGATGATGACATACCGCGCAGCCTTCGTACAAAATGTGACAGGAAGAAGAAGAAGTATTATAAAACCTGCTGGAAGGAGTAACCAGTCTGGAAGTACACCGTTACCGGTAATAACTGTACCGGGAGGACTCACTTCAGACCACCACGGGTGCCTAAAGTCGCGGAAAGTACGTAGCGTGTGGGACAGAAGCGAATGTTTCACCGTTTTATCCACGAAATATCAACCTGTTTACGGACCAAATGATCAGAACTGTTGCAACAGCTGCAACAAGTCGACCAATATTAGCGCCACCCACACGGACTGTGAGTTGGTTTCGCCCGTTGACCTCGTGACGTCAGAGGTCACCGTCACGGGGCTCTGTCCGCCATCTTTGTTTTTCTGCCACCTGTTTCTTGGTGATCTAACCCTGTGCACGGTTTCACATCAAAATGCCGTCTGCGAGTTGTCTCCTGCGTTCCGATTGGCGTAGGCGGTATCTCCACCTTTATAAACCATGCATGCGGGTGTTTCAGAAAGAAGTATAATGCATATCTTCAACCAAGTTGCCACCAACAACTTAGTATATAGAGCAATTTTCAACTAACAGGAGGAGGATTTTGTTCTAGTTCCTTGCGGACGAAATTCAGCACTGATGCCATCAACAACTTAGACCAATTTGCAAAGAACAGGAGGAGAAGTTTATTCTAGTTCCAGGAGACGAAATTCATCACTGACGGGCCACTGCAACCACACAAGTGCGAATCAGGCGGATGTAAGGTGCCACCTGCAAGATTGTTGCATGTCGCGCGGTTCCAGTTAAGGTTCCAGTTGTTGTTAAAGAAAGTGCATCGATGCCAAATCACACTGCCGCCCAACGGAACTTACTACAGGAGACAGGCACACAGGATCAAACCGACCTGCTGTACCGGACTAGAGGAGGTAACATACATGTATGCAGAGGTATTCAGAACAATCTTCCATCCAGCGATGTGTGTAGGTATACATTTATGTTACATACCAGTCATTTTAATAGGTATTTGGAAAAAAAAATGAGGTGAAATATGTTACCCGTTTGAAACGATCAAAATGCTGACAAAGTTTGTGAAGTAAGTCGTATTCAAACTTTTCATGTTTCTCTTGACCACAACTGTGACGATTTTCTACAAGATATCATGCACGTACAGGTATGTCATCGTGCATTTTGTAATGGCACTGGACTTCTTCTTTAACACACAGTGCAAATTAGTTATACGTTTGTTAAGAAACAACTACATCACAGCATACAACAAGCACACAATTTTCTGACACCTCCTTGTGATGCGGAACAGAAACATCCAGACCACAAATTATTAAAGCAGAAGCGTTGTAACCTTCTGTGAATACCTGCCATGAAACTAAATATCGCAATAACAGAGTTTGAAAGCTGGAACACAGGTACGAAGCAGCACTGGGGATTCAAGAACTGGGAATCTGCATTGAAGAAAAGTAATGTAAAGACCAAAACTATTTTCGTTCATGTAAACAGTTCTGAGCCAATTGTACATATGATCAGTTTTTTCCACCTCTACGTAAGGTTGTCATAATTACTGGCATCCGTGTGAGGAATAGTGAAGCTAACTGGAATAGAGGGACGGAGCGTGTAAAAGTAGGATAGGGTTTAGTTGGACTTTATTTTAGCTTGTTTATTATTACGGTTGTGCCAGCTCGGGACCAAGCAACGCTAAGTGACTGTTTAGAACGTTCTGTACTGTTTGTTTGTTTGTTTGTTGTGCTTACGCTGTGAGGAGTCTCCATACAACGTCAGCCAAAACTTTCTGAATTGCTGAAAGAAGACAGTTTGTTGTAGAATACAGAGAATATAACAAGACGATGTCATATCTTGAAAGTTCATCTGTGTTGGTAGAAGTCATTATGACTTACCAAATTCAAGAATCGTCATCAAAGACTGGGGTTGTACAGTCAATGAATGCCTTGAAAAAGACTGGAATTGTACAGTTTCTTTCAATATCTTGTGTTGGAAATGACAAATTTCAACGTGCGTCACAAAACGATACATTTTATGAATCCTATGAATCATATGAATCCTGTCTTTTATCGCAGAATATGACACTACTATGAGTTTTTAACACCTTTGTAGTTGGCAATTTGTGTCCTTTATATGATGCTATGTTTTGGAAATAACTGTGTACACCTTAGTTTCTTATACATGCAGTGGCTGCTTTCATGTAACAGTAGTTTTATAGAAGTAATTAGTCGTGCTCTGCTTAAAAAAATGTGTCACAGAAACTTGATTAGAACGTTAGTAGGACGAACTGCGCCTGCACGAAACCCGTTATGTATTTTTCACAGCCGTTTTTAATGGAATTGCTCAGTGCAAAGCCAAATTGACCACTTCTAGGCACTGAGATAGGTAGGTACGATAGATATATGACTATGCCAGAAGATGGCGGTGGGCAAGTTTATTCTTAGGTCGTATTCGGATGGCATCCCGTCAGTAGTTTTCAAATGTTGTGTCAAAAAAATTAGAGATATCGTCTGAAAGGGAAAAAAATCGGATGCGATGTTGACCAAACAGAAAACGAAAACCGTGAAAATTCCGAATTTTTTTTTCGCCCAGGCGCAGTACGTTCTGCTGGCGTGGTTTCTTGGTCAGTTTGTCAAACCAGGGTCTTTTGCCTTTCGATGATGTACCACAGAAAATGCCACACGTGTCCTTACGACGAAAAGGCAATAGTCAGACAATCATTCTTCTACGAATATTACCATGACGACATCTTCCGTTTTACCCATTCCCAAAGCAAATGTTTCCTTTACGGTTCAGCCACAATAAACAATCTACAGGAAGATTTGTATGACTTGAGGATGTACGTATAGGTGTACATGTTACCACTGTTAAAGGTATCCAATGCAGTTTTTAGGGCTTGGAAACCCGATTTTTCAAAGTCAATATTCTAGTCACTTATCTACATACTGAGTTGAAACCACGCCGTCACATTGTATATTGACCCTCATGGACCAAAAGTACCCAAAATTCTGACGGAAAATGGTTACTGGAAGGGCCCTGGGCTGATTTTTAGGGTACCTCCCATAAAATAAAGGACTCATCATGGGGCTTGTTTCTCCAATTCAAGTACCCAAAGTATGACATAATGATTGAAACGTGCTAATGTGAAGCAGTATGTGTTCTTTATTCAGAATATTTCCAGTTTTGCTGCTCTGAAATTACATTGGATGCCTTTGAGTCTTGGTTGTCAGGCTAAGTCAGAGAGTGGTATATAATGTTATTATTCTATCATCCCTACATTAATTCTGTCCGATTGAATGCTGTGAAATATTATCTTGAAAGTTTATCTGTATTCAACTTAGTAGTTACATGCTTTAAGTTTAAAAAGCCTTTGTTCCAACACAACAAAAAATTGTTCTCACCTAGAGCTTTCAACCAGTCACTCAGGTCTTCCTCAGTAGACTGACCCAGTGAGGCTTGTCACGTGGCTTCTCCAAAGTGTTGGAACAAAAGTTTTACCTTGTGAAATATATCCAGGTGCTGATGGTGACCAAATGTCCTGCTTCGCTAAAGGGACAGAAAAGGCGAGGAAACTACGGAAGTATATACAGTACTGCTGCAATGGACTGGGTAGAACTGAACTTAAACCTGAATTGAGAACATATCTTTTGTAACTACCGCAGTACTCACATGGCTCTGCCTAAAAATGATGCCCAATCACAAGACCAAGACGATATTTACGTGGTAAGGCCACATCAATTTGATTTGTTGGTTTTCGGATTTTTCAGAAAAAATATGAAGCGACAGGGCTAAAAAAAAATAAAAATAAAAACAGGCTTAGGCATCCTATGATAGCCCCAGATGCTATGATAGGAGCCATGAAGTCAACATACCAGGCTGGTTTGTATTTCAAACAATGAATTTCAAACTTTTAATCAACTACAGCATTGTTAGATGAAAAAAACTGTAACAACTCTGAAGAGAAGAGACTTCCTTCAACTGTTGGGGCCAAAATATGAGCATCTTGGAGTTGATTCAGATTCAAATGTTTGTTTTTTTTGCAAATCAGAAAAAAAATGAAGCGGGCGAATCCGTGAACCAACAAATTAAATTGGTGTGGCCTAACATAGATAAAAAAATACACAGTCAAACAATATTCCAGGTCAAGTGCAAAGGGTGACAAAACAAAACTCTACATTGTCTGCTTAGTTTTGCGTCAACTAGTATCATGCATGCGTGTATAACAGCATTCCGTTTTGTTGTTGTTGTCGTCGGTATTTTGAAAATGTCCATTCAAATGATTCTTGCAAAATTCTAAGTACAAAAGACATACCTTTGTTCAGGATACGATGTTTAGGATTAATTTCTATATATTTTGTGGTGTGTAGTTAGTAACTGTTAGTTCCAGCTCTGCCTATGTAAGAGGTAATAATAATATCTCATGTATCACAATCATGATGTAAATATTTAATATGTCCGTGTGTTTCCGATTTGTCGGTTTTCCGTTAGTTAGTTTTCATACGTACATGTGCCCAGATGGTATCCCGAGCCTGTATGCTCCATGTAAGACTTAATATATTATTTCCTTTTATATCAAAGTGCTGAGAGAAAAAAAAACATGATGTCCACAAGAGTTTTATCATCAGAACGTTTTCAATAAACTTTCTGCAAGTTCCGATCTACGACTTTGAGCTTTCATGGGTGTATTCCTAACTTATGTTAATTCAGCTTAGTCAAGAATATTAGTTGTTAAAACTTTTGATCCAACACAAAAAATTCTCTCACCTACTAGAGCTTTCGACCAGTCACTCTGGTCTTCCTCAGTAGACTGACCCAGTGAGGCTTGTCACGTGGCGTCTTTGAAGTGTGACGTCAGCACTGGGTCAAAGGTATCTGGTAGACGATGTCGGCCCCCGTCGCGGTTCAATGTAGGGTGATGGGCCCTGATGTATATGGCTTCCTTCACCCCTCTCAAGAAATAGTCTTGTTCAGTGTCCAAAATCCTGACAAAGAATATTAGTCATTTATATCTTGAAATCTTGACGGGTTGATAAGCTGTCATTTCACATGATCCGTCGTGTTAGATATCTCTCAACATACAACCGGTTCTAAACGTGCTACACGAATTCTGACTATGTGACATTTATCGTAAGACCAAGTATTGTAATTAGACTCCTTAAAAACTGTAAAAATTAGTCAAGATGTGAGACTATTCTATCAAAAGGCTCCTAGTATTTTTCTCTTTCATAGTACAGTGACACGCCTATAGTATACTAGTATCAGTGGCATCCGTATAATAGCATAGCACTGTGCCATACACAACAGGGCACAATAGAGTATATTACAGTCAATGACCGTTCGGTTCTGTTTCATATGGAAGAATTCATAGACGAAACTCTAGAAGGAGCATTAAACTTAGCTTGAAATAAAACAAAAATTTAGGGCTCAAAATGCTGGAAATAGCGTTTCAGAGGGGTTAGAATTCAAAATTTCCCGGGGGGGCATGCCCCCGGACCCCCCTAGCAGGCTCGCGCCTGCGGCGCTCGCTGACGGACGCCTTCGGCGCCCGAAATCTTGCCCCCCCAATCAAAATTTCCTGTCGCCGCCTCTGCAGTGTCATACCTACCTTCGCTAGTACAGTACAGAACCATACCTTTACTCACAATAGGACCGCCTGTGTTTATATATGAGTCGATCTTCCGTTTATGTAAACCTTGGCTCTCTGCATGAGATCAGGTGTGAGTGTAGTCTCCTGTATCGCCGGTGTGTTTGTGTTCGGTCTCGCCTTGAACGGTGTATAATATTCTATTCTTTCTCTAGCATAGTACAGTGTCATACCTATACTAGCATTGCACAGAACAACACCGATACTCACAATAGAACTGTCAAAGTTTATCAGTTATCTCCTGTATCGCCGGTGTGTTTGTGTTATGTTAGGTCTCGGCTTGAACGATGCATAATATTCTGTTCTTTCTCTAGCATAGTACAGTGTCATACCTATACTAGCGCAGCACAGAACAATTATAGTTAAACTCACAATAGGACTGTCGAAGTTTATCACTCGATCTCCTGTGTTTTTTTTTCACTTTGTGGTCGCCACGTAACACGACAAGGTTAGGGTTACCGAAAAGAAATGTAACAGCAACTCTTCTCCCTGAGTCAGAAACATCAAGATTAAGACCAGCCCAATTTCTCACAAGTAGTGAGGACTAACTGACCCAATAGGAGAAACAGGGGTTACGAAGGCTGGTCGGGAAAATTCCCATTTATGTAAACCTTGACGCTCTGCATGAGATCAGGTGTGGCAGTCTCCTATATCGCCGGTGCGTTTGTTTTTCATTTCCAACATGTAATCACCAGACGTCGTGGGGACACACTCAAGTTTTTCAACTTATATTGATGCCGCCACCAACACAATACAATACAATACAATACTCATTTGCACCTGAGCGAAGTGAGGAAAGTCGTGTAAAGTGCCTTTCCCAAGGGGCACAAGATCGGTGGCATGTCAGGACTCGAACCCGGGATCTCTTGGTTCCATGTCGAGCACTCTGCCGCTACGCCACACGCCCCCACTGTGTAAGACCAAGTATTGTAATTAGACTCCTTAAATTAGACTACTAGACTAAGTCTATCAAACGGCTCCTAGTATTTTTCTCTTGCATAGTACAGTGACACGCCTATAGTAAACTAGTATCAGTGGCATACGTATAATAGCATAGACCTGTGACATACACAATAGGACCGCCTGTGTTCTTCCGTTTTAATAAACCTTGGAGTTATGCATGGACTCAGGCGTGAGTGCAGTCTCCTGTATCGCCGGTGTGTTTGTGTTTTGTTCGGTCTCGCCTTGATCGATGCAGAATTCTGCTTTGAGAAGGGTGGAAGTACGCTTAAACGCCCCTCTGTGTGTCTGTTGTTGTGTTTTCTGGGAAACCAGGAATAGTTGCCACAGGTGAGCGGAGTTACGTACAGGTACATGTACACAGGTGAACGACGTTATCTGACGGTATTACACTGCCGACACCTGTCTCACTCTTGTACAATTTTGCTGGGGACGTCTTCGATGAATGTGCCCGTGTTTAGGGTAAGAACCTTCCTGGTCTCACCTAAAGACTTACGTCTGACGCGTCCGGGCTTTGCTTCAAACAAACGTGAGGATATTTCAACTGTTTTGAAGGTGCCGGTCACGACGAGGTTGCTAGACGAAGTGCTCTTCATGTCCTGGTGATTTCTGGTGATACTTGCTTCAAGAAGGGTGGGACGATTTCATCGGTTGAGAACAAAAGAAGCCCGGTCAACCAAAGATTTTCTGTTTGTTTTACAATAGAGACAGAATCGGTGCCAGGGATCGTGTGGCTTGAAGAAGACGTATACGGAAGTACAAGTAGTACATTTTGTTGCATGTTTGGGCACGGAACACGATCAACTGACGATTAGATTTCCCTGTTCGTTTTATAATAGACAGAACTATGATCCAGGGACCGTGTCGCTTGGGAGAGAACTAGACTTACGAACAAGGGGCCAGACACAGGCCTTTGCACAGAGGCAGGTAGGCAGACAGGTTTTGTAAACAACAGAAGGCTGTGTAACCGTAGCGGTGAACTTCCAAGCCACTTGATCTCAAGTCTTTTTCGCTGACAGAAATGTCTCCAGTGCTACTCGTCGCCTATTGTACGATCCTGGTTACTGTATTCTAGGGAAGGAAGGGTTTGTTTTCTCCGCGACAACCTCAAAGTGGTGAAACTTGGAGGAACTTGATATCCAGGTCCTTGGCGCTGGCAAAAATTAGCCTCCACCAGGCCTTTCTACGGGAATACTGATCGTAGAATTCGGCAAAAAAAGATAATCAAATTGGCCAAGGGAGTCCGGCCGCGGGGAGGTAGTTTCTTTTCCCTCCGCGGCACAGTCAAACCCCAAGGCAGCCAAACTCCCCTGGCAAATATTCTCCTATATATAGCCAGCGTAGTTAGTCTGGTAGACACTAGGCAAAAATGTGTCCAGTGCTACGCGTTGTCTTCTGTACCATCCTGGTTCTTCTCGTTACCAACGGGTTTGTTACCGGCACGTTAAGTTCCCCGGTGGGGTGCGTGGGGTGTGAGCGAGCGGCAACTTCCTCGGGACCCGTGGCGGCCGCCTGGCGGGCCCAGGACTACCCCAGCCCGCTGATGGAGTGGCAGCGGTGCGGTAGGAACCGTTCCTCGTACCTCTGCGACCCGGACGGTATACTGCCACAAGAAGACGGTAAGTATTCATTGTGTTTACCGAAGGAAAACATATTGTTTTTGCTCCGTTTCTTCCTCTTCTTCTTCTTCTCCAAACAGTGATCTATGACCTGACCAATGAGATGATTTGTTGACGTCTGTCACCATGGTGACTGGTGTTGCGTTACATAATGTTGCAATTTCATGGTCTGCTGTACTCCTGTCACCATATACTAGTAATGCATGTTTGTTTGTTTATTTAGATCTCCATTAGTATGTGTGCATATACATGTAGTGCATGTATGCGAATGTGTTTGAGTAAGAATTAACAGAGCAGACCATGTCCGAAGGTGAACATTATGCATTTGCCTTGCAAATGTTACTTCTCTAGTTTCTATCTCGTTATATTACATTGCACCAACTTTCATGCTTGATTTCAGAACGTCAACAGCTATAGACACAACACTTATAAAGACAAAGTACATAAACAGTTATATCAAATGCATGAATTAGTTTCAAATAATCGATCTTAAGCTTGTGCCCTTGGGAAAGGCACTTTACATGACTTTCCCCACTAAAGTGCCTTTCCCCACTTAACTCAAGTGAAAATGAGTATTGTCTGTCCTGTATTCGTTTCTATGTGTGGGACACAACACCGGCAACAGCTGCCTCTGTTCCGCGTGTATTGCACTGTTGCAATTTCAATAAATAATTTTAAAAAAAAATCTGACGTACGATATGACATGCGATATGTAATCATCCCCAAAGCCGCCATTTTGGACAGCCTCCTCTTCAACCTGACGGTTCAGACGGGCTGCCCTTGCGGAAACAGGACGCACTGCAGCCGCTGGAGCGCGGACCACGTCACCTTCGCCAACGGCACGGACAACAGCTGCACGGCCAACGCAACCACGACTTCTTGCGACTCCTGTCGGGTCTGCAGCGACGACGGCGGGACGGTGCTGAACTGCAGTTCCTGCGTTTGTTCGGGTTCCTGTAACGCGGTGACGTCACGTTGCCATAACAACAGCAAAGTGTGCCGGGAAGTGGCGGACAGAGGGGCGGGTTACGTCATGACTGTGGTACTGATGCGGAGGATGACTCTCATCACATCCTCCTACAGGTAGGTACCATCATCATCATCATCATCATCATCCCCATTATCCAAGTGTGTTCCAGACCTATAGTTTGACTGCCAAGATAGCAATGGGGTCTTGCAGTTGTTGATTTAGAATCTGTATCTGTATCTGTATAGCCGGTATTACCGCCCTTCGGCGTAACACACCAGCTGCGCAGGCACGCGGCGCGGCGGCAGCTGGCTACATTACACGATCGACTTGTTACACCTAGCCCTTGAACATCTAACTCTAGACACTGTTTAAATCTAAAGGCACTTAGAACCTTTGAGCCTGTTATCATGACAGTGTTACATGTTTCTGTTCCTCTCCAGTGAAACAGTAGACCTCGCCGCTAACCGGTACGCGGATCACTTCCGGGACAGATGGAGGCTCGGCAGGTGTGGAGAGGCCGTCGTGGTCGTCATCTCCATGGAGGAGCGACAGGTGTTGAGTCATAGTAACCATAATTCTTTCACAGTATATAGTAGAGGAGATTCATTCCTCAAGCTACCGACATCTTGCACACGCAGTCGTCCCCCAGTTAGACATCTGGACCTGCATATAGTTCCCGTTTAGAACTTTTGTTCAGCCTGTCACATAATTCTAACACAGGAACCGCACCAGATACCGTTACCCTGAATATTTCATAAGATTTATTGTATAAAAGCTTTTCTTTTGCTGTGATCTGTAATTAACCCAGTGGGTATGTATGTATATGTATGTATGTATGTATGTATGTATGTGTGTGTGCCTTTATATATGTATGTATGTATGTATGTATGTATGTAAATCGGTCCTCGTCAACCTGACGGACGAACGACATGTATGTATGCTGGAAGTTTTGGAGGTGTGGAGAGGCCATTGTGGTCGTTATCTCCATGGATGAGCCACAGGTGTGTAGGAATGGTACACAAACTCTTAATCCAACAACAGATACCTTTATCCTGATTCTTTCTTTCACAAGATTCATTTTATACAAGCTGCTGTGGCCTGTGCTTAGCCCAGTGTATGTATGTATGTATGTATGTATGTATGTATGTATGCGTATGTACAATAGAGGTCTTAGTTAATTCTTTCGCTATATATTTTGATACCATTTTTTCTGCACAATTAATTATTAAAGCAATCTACAAGGTACCAGGTTCTACCCAGTTTTGTCAACACAAAGTCCGTAGCATTATTGCTTATTGCTCAACAACTGTAACTGGTACAACGTATGGAAGAGTCTTGTCCCTATGATTTACATGTAGATGTTCTGTAACTTTTTCATGTTTCAGATCTACACATCGACCGAGAAAACGGCTGCCCGAAGACTCTCCGACCTTGACCTTGTCTACCTGTACCGCGATTACGTCACGGAGGACTTCTGGACCGGAAACATCACGCGGCGACTTCCGGTCCTGATCCAACAGTTCATGGTCAAGATCAACACCCCGGAACCCCCGCGAAGACTGTTCGAGGTGTGGCTGTTTCTGTATCTGTATAGTCGGTATAACCGCCCTTCGGCGTAACACACCAGCTTCTATATCTGTATAGCCAGTATAACCGCCCTTCGGCGTAACACACCGGCTTCACAGGCACGCGGCGCGGTGGCAGCTGGCTACAATACACCGATCGGCTTGTTACACCTAACCCTTGAACTTCTAACTCTAGACATTGTTTAAAGCTATCTAATGACAATGTACTGTACGTGGTGACAGCGAGTTCCACTTTGCGATAGTTCTAGGAAAGAATGAATTCTTGAACACCTCAATCCTTGGTTGATAACTCTGGTACTTGAAGGCATGGCTACTTCTTGTTCTCTTCTGGGCTTGTGTTAGGTACTTAATAGTCCACCTGTTTATTAGTCATTTCGTACACCATGCATAGTCTGAACATTTTTCTTCTGTCTTCTTCTAGGTGTGGCTAGAGAGCTGGGGGAACTGGTTCCTGTTTGCGATGGTCTGCCTGAGCATTGCGTCCTGTATCCTGTACAAACATCGTCTGAAACTGTACAAGAACTTCCCCGCCTGCTGCCAAAAGAGGTGGCTCAAAGTGAAGAACAAAGGACGAAAGAAGAACCCGGTGACGGAAAGGTTTGAAGAGGAAGTGTTGACGTATGAGGACACCATCAGTGGCATGAGGCTAGAAGAGTTACAGATCAGAAAGAATAGACGAGGATTCGATTGGTAGATAAGCACTGGGGCAATTTTGTTAACTGCGTACGCCAAGGTTTTGTTTTCAGGGGTTAGGGGGGAATAGTGTAACAGACTGACGAGAAAGTCGATTGGATATCAGAACTAGTTTCTCCTGGCAGTGATTGGTGCAACCATTGCTTCCTTCATCGTATACAAACAACTTCTAAAGCTGTACAAGAACTTCCCTGCCTGCTGCCAAAAGAGGTGGCTCAAATTGAAAAGGAAAAAAAATCCAGTGATTGGTTCTATTGGTAGATAAAGATTAGGTCTGTTGTGTCACCTCTGAATACGGAGGGTTTTCTTTTGTATATAAAGATTGTAATAGGGCCCATGTTGTTAAACCTGTTTCAACTGAGTTTTGGAGTTTCCTAGTTGAGACACCTGGATGTGATTTTAAAAGATATAATTTTAATTCATTATTCTATAAAAGAACTGATTGTAGATTTTAGGTCATTGTTGTTATTGACTAATCATTATCATTATTAGTAGATCATTATTAGTACTTAGTATCCTTAGGTATCCTAAAATAATTGAAGCAATCTAACAATTGTTCAGAGCAATGAATTTGCTTTATTTATTACAGTAGCAGGAATTTGTTACATTGATGTGTATGCACTGTGTATGCACTGTGATCAACTGCATTTAATATGATATCGTTTCTAAAAGATAGCTTTAAGCCAGCAGGCAGAGATGAAATGTCTATATGTATATGTTGCTTAATACTTGGCTTACACCTAGAGTACTACTAATACGTTTG